TGTAATCATCCTGTGCAATTGGCCCAGGCCTGATGGGCAGCCTGTCAATCAACCTCAGAGCCAATGATGGATTGGCTCTAAAACACAGGAGGCAGGGCTCCTTTTGTTGGAGAAGCAGGAGAAAGCTTCTAGAACTTCCTCACAGCAGCCATCTTTGTGGTTTTCTTGATCCCATGCCCCCACCACCAAAAATCAGATCAAGTAAAACCATGACATTCCACCCCTACACCTCTGTGATGACATTTTTCCTAAAAAATAATCATTTAAATCTACTTGTAACTCTTACTCTTAACACAGAAATTATACCAGCACCAACAAAGAATAAACTAAAGACAAAAGTATGCACCCCTAGAACTTATCATTCTACCTTAAAAGAATACAGCAAGAGAGTGGAGCTCAAACGTGTCTGACCGACTATATATATATATATCTATCTTTCTCCCAATTAGCCATTAGCAAGGACGGTGTTTAGAAACCTTGTCCTCCTCCATAAATCTTTCCTGTTAACTCCCATCTAAAAATCACTCATTCTTTGATGTTCTGCCCGCATTCTCCACCAAATAATGTCGAGAACTTCCTCACAGCAGCCATCTTTGTGGTTTTCTTGGTCCTATCCCCCCACCACCAAAAATCAGACTAAATAAAACCATGACAAGCACTCTAAAAGAAGAGGTGAGGGAGGTGACCTGGTGGTGGGAGTAACCCTCTACAGAAATGCTCCTRTTTTGCTCATTTACAATTTTTAAAGTGTAAAATAAAGAGCTTTATGGCTCAAGTACCTTTTCACGTGTGGATATGTGTTCCAGTCATTATCCTGGACAGATCAGAGCGGGACACACGCTGTGTTTTGCAGGTTGAATTCCCCGAGGCACGGATTTATGAGGAAACACTGAATGTTTTACTGTACGAGACTCCCCGGGTCCCTGATAACTCCCTGCTGGAGGCCACGAGCCGCAGCCGCAGCCAAGCGTCGCACAGCGAGGAGGACGAGGGCTTGGAGCTGCGCGAGCGCGTGCGCCGCATCCACGTCAAGAGATACAGCACCTACGATGACCGCCAGCTCGGCCACTAGTGTGGCACTGCAGGGGTGCTCCAGCTCAGTCACCAGGGTGACACTGCAGGGGTGCTCCAGCTCAGTCACTAGGGTGACACTGCAGGGGTGCTCCAGCTTGGTCACCAGGGTGGCACTGCAGGGGTGCTCCAGCTCGTGTCCTTTCCTTGGACAGCAGGGAGGATCCATTGCACTCTGGCCATTGATCTTCACTCACCCAATGAAGATCAAACAGGGATTTGTGCGTACAGAGTGACACTAAAGGCTTGGAGAACTGAGCTGTGCACCTTGTGCTTTACCTGCAAACCAGCCCCTCTTTCTGCTGGAAAAGGGGGAATTTGGAATGCTGGTTCTCAGTTTGTGGTTGCTCTTTCCTATCTTAACAATTTGCCAGTTTTCCCCTTCCTGTGAGCAGCACTGCTGTTCCTGAGTGAGGTGGTGCTGCTTGAAAAGCTCTTTGCAGACACCTCCCCTTTCAGGGTTTTGTAAAATGGAACTTGCAGTTATTAAATCAAGATACTGAAGAGAGAACTTGAATGTGGCTGCTCTTGGCAGGCATTGCATGGGATAASCCCCAGGAGAGACATTTGGCCGGCCAGTCAGCTGCACGTGTGCTCTCCCACCCCTGTCCCTGCAAACCTTTGTGTTCCCCAAAGTGTCTTTCAAATCGTTGATTCCAAGGCAAGAATCAAATCATCAAACAACTTCCCCGTGTGAAAAAAATGAAAAATCTCTGAAAATATAAATGTGTAGGTAATGATTTGTCATGGGAAAGGGAGAGGTGGGTATGGTGAGGGAAGAAACTTGAAGTGAGCAGACTTGAGCAGATTGTGGCAGTGTTGCCCTGGTTGAGGCTTGTGACAGTGAAATCCTGTTTATATAAACAAGGGCARTCTAGGGAATTGGTTTTACATTAGTTTCCTCCTGTGGCCCAAAGTGCTGTTTAATGTTRAATTTCTCAAGCAGCAGGGGAAAATTGCAGTGGCTGGGGAAGTACAGGCTAAACAGTGTTTTATAAGGCTAGGACATTAAATTCAAGTTCTATGTCCTAAGTCCCTTCTGGAGTATAGAGGCTGAAAAATAAAAACAGCCATGAAAATCTTGTTTTAGTGTGGAACTGTGAGGGGCTTTGGGACAGGAGAGAGGTAGCTTATACTGGATTTTAAACTGAAATAATCACTTTTATTCCMAGTGCTTGGCTGGGTGCTAATTGGACAGGGCACTTCAGGAGGTGGGAGTCAAGTCTGCTCTGCAAATTTGGTCTCTGGAAACAGTTTCAAGTTTAGCATGAAAAGCCATTATTGTGTTTTTAAACATTTGCTTGTATGTTTGAGCTGTAGGTTGCAGACTCCAGTTTTGCCACTGTCATTTCTGGTTATTCCTGCTGGCTGCCCACTGAGAGCCCTGGATTTGCTGGATGTGTTCCACAGCTGCCTTTATGTTCCAATATCATACTCAATCATGAAGCTCCAGATTCCATGGTGGTCAGTCCTGAACTGCTTTGACCAGTGCCAAATCTGCTTGTAAGATTTAAAGGAAATTACTGCAACAGCTTGACAAGAAAAAAAAGTCCCAAATTAATGCGGGGAGGTCATAAGGAGAATTGAGATGTGGATGGTTTGGGAGTGATAGAAGCAGGGGAGGGAGCAAAACATTATTTGCATTCACTGAGGTTTTTGAAAATTAAATTGTTGAGGGGTTAGTAAGAAAACACAGATTTTCAGGATTTTCTTGCCTCTATGTGTGGCAGGATTCACTTCATTCTCCTCACATTCAGGAAGCAGCATTGCACAGGGATGCACCTGCTCTGTTGTGAAAGACCTGAAAACTCTGATAACCCTAACAACCTCTTTTCTTTTATATTGCTTTCTGTAAGGTGTTTTTTTTCAGCTGGTTATTGCTTTGTGCCAGGGAAAATACAACTGTTGAGATTAGATTTTTATGATATTTTTCTCTAATTCTGCTAGAGTGTGATGTGGATTTTTAAATTTCTTTTCCCTTCACTAATGCTGTTTAATTTGAAGGCATCAACAGAAGCTGCAGCAATGGGGTCTTTGTGCTGCATTTAATAGCTTCAAATTATTATCTTGTGCTTTTTCTATCTTGCAACAAAGGCTGATGCTATTTAAAATCCACATGTGGCACTTCTGTTTCTTCTCAAATTATTTATAAAATCTTTTTCTTGTTACTATCATAGTGAATGTTAACAGAGTAAGTGATGCTGATAGCCTTGCAAAACTGCATTTAACTGAAGTTATAAACAGAAGAATGTCCTATTTGCATTTATTTTTTCTGGGGAGGACAGGTATGGGAAGGAGTGTGTGAAAGAGAATGTCACATCTGTGTGCTACTCCAGAGCATCCTTTCTGCTGTTTTTAAATAGCATAAATTAAGACAATACAGATTTCTTTTTATGTGCTTTTGTCTGCAAGTTGAGGCTTGTACTGGATTCCATATAGACCATCACATTAATGATGCCCAGGAATCTGGAGTAACCTTTGGGAGAAAGAAAAGTCTTTTTGCCTCATTTGTGGGGTGTGAATTGTAACTACATTAGCTGACATTCTTACAGGACTCGCTGTCCTCTTCACTCCTAGATTTAGGCAAACCTTTGTGCATTCAGGCACATTGGCAGGGTGAGGGGATGAACAGGAACCTTTCCCTGCCATCCCTGCCCAATCCTGGCCCATAGGGCTGCTGGGTGTTTCCCAAATGGGTGTTCCTACACTGCCACAACCTCAGTCCTTCTCCAGGGAACGAATCTCAGTGTCCCATGAGTGTCTGCTGGAAAAAAAAAACTTTCCAGGATCAGTGTTAATGGGGTGAGTGTCAGAGGAGATGGCTCAGCTCCAGCCAGAGGTCAAAGCTCACTGCTTAACCCTCACCTTGGCATTTCATTTTTGAAACAGGAGACATTTATCCTGCTGAAATGTTCTACTCCACTGACTTTTATCTTTTGTGTAAAATAGAGAATAAGAGAATAATAGAGAATAAGTAATGGACATGGAGGATGTTGGAGGGGCTGTGGTGTTTGAATGGGCATTGCTTACAGTGGGCTTGGTTTGATTTTGTTCTTCTGGAAGGTTTTCATTTTCAGACAGAATTGTCTCGAGTCAGTACTGGTGAATATAGCTGAAGTGGAAGGGTTACACTGTTAGATTGTGTCCTCTGACAATCCCTGGCATTCAGTCCTGGTGCTGGGAGGTGAGTCCTGTTCCAGCTCTGTCCCTCACTCAGGGACACATGGCAGGTTCTCTTTTCTCTCTGTGTCACTTCTCATCTAGTGGAATAGTAATAAAACCCTCCCCTACCTCACAGGGTGGTTGACTCTTAATTTGTTTGATAAGAGTAAAGGATTCTTTGGATTTCTGTGATATTTTATATCCGGAGGATAGCAAATATGGTTGCTGATCTTGTTTAAACTGACATTCTGTGATCAAGTTATTTTCTTAGAGATTCGGTTTTTGTTTTATTTTTATGCWTTTAAGGGTCAGTCTTACAGATAAAGTACCTAGTTAATACAGTAATGAATCAATTATCTGTTGATTAAAGTGTTTCACCAGTGCATTAAATGGAACAGAACACTAATTTTTAATAAAGTGTTATATTTTGTCTTCTGTGATTTTTCCTCCATCATCATAACTTTTTATTGGTAGTGTCGGTCCCTGCACTTTTGTTATGTGTTTCCCTTGTGATCCTGGCTGAGGATTTGGGATCACAGGCACGGTTCGTCCCCACGCCGCGCTCTGGGGGATGGGGCCGGTGCCCGGGATTGTGTCCGGGGCTGGGGCTGCCCGGCCG